ACTTATATATTTGCTTATTTATTTATTTGTTTATTTCATTTTTAATTACCTGTTTCCACCATTACGTAGAATGAGGGTGCAAGGATTGGTTGTTGCAGTCGAAAATTAGCTGTTTGAGGAACTGTTATTATGCTGCGATCGTCACTGTTCTACGCCGTATTTGTTTACGTTTTAAACTTTTTTTTTTTTCGGAATTCTCCGAAAATGTTTTCAAAATAAGCCGTCGATGGTGCCGCTGCTGTTGTTGGTGGTGGTGAAAGTGGATGCGGTGGCTGTGGGAGCGGGGGTAAACCGGCTTCGGCCAATTCCACATCCCCTTGTTAGGCTCCAGAAAACTAGGTTGGTAACTGAAATTCCAGATACATTTTCTTGTTTTTGTTCTTAGATTATTCTGTTGTCGAGGATTTTAAAATATGATGTGGTTTCAATCGATAATTATTGAAGGTTATTGTAAATTAGTAGCTGAAAAATTATAAATAATTTCAGCAGGCTTTTTTATTGCTCGTTTGTTTCTAAAACTTGGCGGATTCATTGTTTAAGAATGAAAGGAAAAAAGGAAACTGTTTGTTATTTTATTTTTTTTTTCCTCTGTAATCTTGATAACAGTGTTATGGATTTCTCAGTTCCATGCTGATATTTTATTGCTTCTCTTTTTGATTTGTAGTTCATTTTTGTAAACAAATAAAAACAATTTTTTTGTCGTTCATTTTCACTGGTTGATTTCATTAATACTGAAGTGTATTGATGGAAATGACGGCGATGAGTGTATTCCGTAAAGCCAAGTTGTCTTTTGTTGCCATCAGATTATCATAAATGCTCAACCTCTTTCTCATTTCTCTCTCTCTCTCTGTTACCGTTTTCGGTGTTGGAAATTGCTTGGACTTTTGTTATTTGTAGCTCTCAAATTAGGGTGACTTTAGTTTGTTAGTACTGACAATCACTTGATTGCTAATAGACCGTCGCTGTTAGCACTCATGGTCAACGGCCGTTGTGTCTGTAATCACAAAAAGAAACCTTCAGACGGAAAATTTGAAGCGAACAAAACGTGTGTTGCATTGGATCTTCTGCGCAGAACCTCTCAGCTGAGATGATTTTTGAAGTTATTTTTCAGAAAATGACTGAAGAAAATCAACGTTATAGCGGGTTCCAACAGATTCCAGGTAATCAGGAGCTACCAGAAGGAGCGGGCAGTACCTCATCGTCAAACACATCTGAAGATAGTGGGTTTGTGATTGTAAATCCACCTGGGTCACCCCCTCGGTAAGCTTTCTCCCCGTTATACAAACTTTAGCAAAAAAAAACTATTTCAGTGTTTTTTTTTTTTTTTTTTTGACGTCCATAAACGATACAGTAGACTGGTTGCCAGAAATGTACAGTGCTTGTGTTCGAATAGATTTCACCTAGTGTTCTTTTGGTCTGGGTTCAGTGACTAGAAAGAGTGGAGCAAATGTTTTCTTAGAAATAGTCAAAATTAAATCCAGTCAAATGACGGGGTGTTGAATTATCAAACAGGAAGCAGCAACATTCTCTTTTTACATTTGTCTACGTATCGTAATTATCAGCATCAACGTTTCTGGTTTGTTTTTTCTTCCCCCTTTTGTTGGTTAAATCAACTTTTTCTTCCCAGTTGCTCATTTTTGATATGTGTTATAATACCTAAAAAGAGAAGATTTTATGTGTCTTATTGCTTTTATGACATAAACAACAGAATTTTTTTTGTTTCGATTGCTACTTTGATGTATGAAGTGTTGTGAATGACAGATCTAATTTTTTGTCCCATTTACTCGAAATTCATTTATATCCGTATATTTGCTTGTGATTCTTTTTGTATTTTACAGTAACGAACACAGCACAGTGGAAAATACGTCGCTTGATTCATCAACTGTTAGGCAGGTTGGCGTTTTTATCCTTTTCATTGTTTATTTTTACATTGTCTCCGTTATTTTCGTTGAAATCATTGCGGAGGGTTAAGAATTGGGTGAGGGTAAAAATTTATTAGCATCAACTAGTGATATTTGTTTTTTATTATTTTATGTCTTAATTTTTGTAATGGTCTGTTGACAACGTTGGCTTTTTTCTCTTTATTTCCCCGTATTTCAACTTTCGTTTGCTACCTTATTATTCAGATCGATAATATCTGTATTACGCTTGAAAATCTGTTGTAATTAGCTATTTTTTGCTCGATTTAGAAAAGTGTGATTGTGGTTTCTTTTACTTTATTAATTTTTATTCTCAATTTAATTCTTTACAAAAGCTGCATAAATTTTTGCTCGTTTCATATGGGCTGCGGGCATATCGATGGATGCAATTACTTGCCGGCTTTTAGTTGGTCCTTTGCTGCTTTTGCCATTCACTTGATTGTGCAATCAGAATTTTTTTTGTTGAAGTTTAGTTCGTTTTTTTTTTGATGGATAGTCTGTTTAATAACTTAGCACCGTTATTACTAATACTGATGAGCAGTCAAAGATAATTATCTGTTCGCTGTGCTTTATTGAACGAATTGAAGCAACCGCTGTTTTGACTTGCTTATTAATTAAGTGACTGGAAAGAAGGGAGAGGGGAAGATGAAAGAGACATTTTTACTTTTTAATGACCGAAGAATGGCGTTTTTTTTTTTGTTTTTCCAGCGGAAGATTATGTAATACTTTGGAGTGAAGTGAAGTAGGAGTTTTTTTATTATTTAAAGACTTGCGATAGAAAAAGGACCCAAGTGGTACACAGCGCTCCCTTGCCGATTAGTGATGAATAGGCGTAACATTTGCAGTTTTCCAGCTGCAATGTTACAACTCCATATAAACACACGTTGAAAAAATTTTTGTATAACTCTGGCTTTGTTTCATTTAAATTGCCCAAATTTAGATGAGAATGCAGTTTCTTTTTTTATCACTGTAGGAGTTGTAGGGTGAAAGACTTGACAACCGTTTTATTCCATTCCAGTATCACCGACCGGAGTAGATGAGCACTCAAAAATAAAAAAAAAAGGAAAACAACAAGGACTGTTCCTGTAATGTTGGAACAGTGGCTAAACGGGAAAAGCCGATTGTGTAATCAGTATATTATGTACCTATTTGTACATTTACCTACATTATTTACATCAGCATTCTTCCATGTTCCCTTTTTTTTTGTCCTGTTTACTGTGCAGTACAGTTCTTCATTTTTTTTTTTTTTTTTTTTTTTTTTTTTTTTT